CTATGAGACTTCATTTTTCACTTCCATCAAGAAGTGAGGAAAAGCAAACCCTGTTCAGCAACATCCCTTTTGCCTTTGAAAGAGCTAAAACAGACCTTCCTTCCCACACGTTTCTGTCCCCGAAAGCAACCTGCAAGTCTCACAGCAAAGCTAGGAATACACATTCACAGCATTTTTCTTGCTTTCTTTTCTCACACAACAGGTTCACACTTCACAGGCTGGGCTTTTAGTCTACCTTTTTTGTTACCAAGTTCATCAGCACTGTCTGTTTATCTGCTCCATCCAAACTAAGAAGGAAACAAGCCTACAGAAGATAAGTAGGAACTCTTCAACAGCTACCTTCCTGCTGAGCCAGCAATTGCCATTTTTGGCACCATCTGTGTCCTGGAAGTCTGTTCTCTAGTGTTTTATTCACTAAACACTGATAAAATATTTGGAAAGAAAAATCTCTTGAGGCATCTTCTACTTTTAAAATGTTTTAAAAGAAAGAAAAAAGTAGGTGATATTGCACACCACAGAGAACTTGACTCAAATCCCCATCGTGTTACATCAGAAACAAACTCCAGGTACTTCAGTTTTAAATCACTACATCTTCCTTCCAGAAGGCATGAAATTTTGTCTTGCAAATACACCTCCAGTGCTGAATGCACACAAGCTAAGTAAGAGAGTACTTGCCATTACAAATTAAGAGCAAAATCAGTATCTTACAGACTGCTGTTCAGGAAAGAGTAATAGAGATCTATTTACTTTCCTGCAGCGACCAGAGAGCCAGGGTAGTTGTTTCCAGTGAGGAAGAGATGAGACTGGTATATGTGGAGAAAGAAAAAGGTGGTGTGCCAAATCTTTCACCAGTCACGATTCTTAGGACCAGTCTGGACTTTGTATTTGATGAGTAGGGAGAGAAATGAGGAGGGAGGGAAAGTGATAACCACGTACTATCACTAAAAATGATGCACTAACTGTTTGAGGGTTTGCCTCATAAAAGACTTTGTAACAAGATAATTTTTTTTTTTTTAATAAAATCTGATCATGCATGTGTTCTCCAAATTACTAAACTGATACAGTAACCTCTATAGGCAAATTATATGCAAGCAAAACAAAAGGGAGAAGATGCACACCAGAAGTGATGATGCTTTTATGGAACATGGTCACTGATCCAGAGTCCTCAAACACAGACTGTCCAGTGAAGGAAGGGGGAAGATGCAAATGACCTCCTGGATAAGTAGAGAACATGATCCTGGATAATCACCTACCAGTCCAGACTCCAAATGCAGCCTGAGGAAAGTTCTAAATTTTCTTGGTTCAGACAGAGTTGCCACCTTCCCCCCACCTCCTAGCTGGGCAAGGAGTACAAGAGTACCCAACCCACACATAGAGGAACCTGCAGAACCTTGCCAAAAATCTTGAAGTTCAAATTAATCACCAGACAAGTTTTGTACAAACTTAACCTTGAATGACTTGGAATAAATTAGAATTTTATCTTTTACAGCTGCATTTTTCAAGTGAGCTCTTCAGAATAGCAACCTTGTGGTTTTGTTTCAAAGTATTAACTCAGCAGATTACAGTAGGTCATTATCTGCCTCTTTTTCCACCACTTAAACCTGACTATGGTCTAAAAGAGTTATCTTACCTTTTTTACTTACACCATAATGGTCTGATAAGCACACAGTGAGATCTTATATTACACAGAGGAAACAACTACAAGTCCAATTGCTATGGCTGGTTTTAAGAGTCAGTATTTTGTTCAGTAACTTCAAACCATGTGAAGGAGAACACTAACTGAAATATTTTTCTCAAAAAAAGCCAACCAGAAAAGCAAATAAATAATTTGAATTTATGTATTTGGTTAATGAAAGTCTTGCTAATAAATGCTTGTTACTCTGTGGCCATTTACACCACTGTTTCCCAATCTATATGGAATAACTATGGGTCAAGTATCCTACCACATGAGTTTTCAGAATACCCAGTTACTTCTGAGGGGAAGTCAAAGATTCTTTATCACCAAAGTTCAGTGTTTTCTCTCTTCTATGCTACTAAAGGCACTAGATTTTACTAAATAGGCATGCATGTCTCTTAGAAAGATAAGAGAGTACACCAGTGGAACAGTTTCAAGGTTTTCACCAGAAACTAATTTACTCCAGCATTTCATGAATCTCAAAAGGCAGCTTCCACCTGCATGGAGAACAAAGGACCTGTATTAATAATGGGGCACCTTCCTCAGCTGATGCATCTCAAAACATTCTCAATTCAAATTAAGTTTCAATATTCCCTGAAATTTTTTTCTGGTTTTGAAAACCAGGAGGCAGAACTATTATCTGTGGTGCTCAGGAGTGGGAGTTACTACCAAATTCTGTTACACTTCACACTACAAGCACTTCAGCTACATTGCTGTGGGACCAGCACATCCCTACCACGCTTCCAGATCTGCTTTCTCCAAACCTGACAAACTGCACTTGAGAACATTATAGATGCCTTCCTTATTATAAGAGTGCTAAGTAGGTGGTTGGTTTGTTTGGTTTTTTTTATAAGCCAAGGACCATCTATCTCTGTGCACAGAGATGCTCGCTGGGTCCCAGTCCCACGTGGCTCAAGGCATGCAGGTACCACTGTGTGACAAACTGGCAACAAGAACAGCTGTGAAGCACCGAACTAGAGGCATGCACACTGACTGCTGGGGACACTCCTGTGGGCTTCCCATGGAAAAAGGTTGTTTCTATAAAGATCAAAATCAAAGTAAGACAATTACTTCAACTTTTGCAAAGAATGACACTGTAACCTTACTAAGAGTGGCTATACTAAGGGAGGAAACTTCACAAGAACAATAATCTTCACATATCTCTATGTCACAGTAAAAGGAAAGGTGTTGCAGGGTACTGTGTTTTGTATTTCAATATTGAACACACATGAGGGCCAATGGATTAGCTAACCTAGGGACCTCTTTCATCAGTTGTTTTTTGGTTTGGTTTTAAGGATTTCACACCCATTAGAAGTCAGTCTTGATTCAAGAAATTAACAAAGAGGTGATGAGGCAAGAAAATTGGCACAGAGGGACTATAAGACACCATTTAAGTAAAATCACTCCAGCTGACACACATGCACACTAACACACCATCCCCTCAGAAAATATTCTGCAAGAACATTGCTTCAATATAAATACCTCTCTGTATCTATAAACTTCCACTCTCCCTACCAAGACTTGTTTTAAGGAAGAATCAAAAGCTTTCTTACAGAGCTCAAAGGAAGTTTTTTCAAGGATTTTAGCATCAATAAAAGATACCAGAGCCCAAGGTAAACTGACATAAGACAATTCCCTGATGAATTTAATCACCAGTTGTTGTATTTTATCATCAGCACTGTTTTGCAAGTATACAAATCTTACCTGCTTAAGTGCAGAGGTGCCAGACCACCAGCACTTACAAAATTTTAGAAAGTTAGTGAACAAACTGTACTTGGCAAGCAGCCCTGATGTTGCAAGAGAATCAAAAAACTATTGTAGAAGTTTTGAGGTCTCTAAATTTTGGACTCAAAGGATCAGGTCTGTACAAATAACTTGAGGACATCCAGGGAAGACTGAGATTATGTTAATAGGGACAATTTTAACTCTTCCTTGGGAGTGTTAGGAACATACAATGTTTTTAAAAAGGCAGACAAAAGAGAATATCTGAGACCAGATGTCACCACAGAAACTGCAGCAATACAGAAGAAGAAAATAATTTAAAAATCAGGAAATACATAGGAAACAGGGTAGATATCTGTAATACATAGGCAGAATTAGCTACAAATGTGTAATGAGGCATAAGCAGGTAGAAGCATTTTTTAGTACTCTGCTCAACAGTGCTGACATCGCTCTTTATTCACATCTCTGAATTGTATGCCTCTGCTCTGATACTGTTCCTACACAAAATCCTCAGAGGAATTTGGTACCAAAAAATAAGTTAACTTTAAAATTAGTCACCCTCAACCATTTCTATAACTACTCTTCCCAGAAGCTTGGCAAAAAAAATATTTATGTATTTGAAAGAAAAGGTATTGGGTGGATACTGTTCAGCAGAGGGGTGCACAAGGTTTGGGAAGTACAGAGGAAAAGCTTATATAGACAGCAGACACTAGAAAGGCAGACTGAAGCAATGAGAGGCAATGTGGGCTGGAACCTTACAGAAACCCTGTAGTTTGACAGCCTAGGTTAAACAGACCAATGCCTTCATTTTTCTTCAAAGCTAAAGAGCAATCAAGCAGTGCAAACAAAGAAGTTGCTGCAGATGGAAAGTTAAATGAAGGCAGACCAAACCTGCTGGAGAACTGCTACCAGAGCTATATCCTCACACCCTCCACCCTCTAATCTCCCTCAGGCAAAAGGATGACTTATCACTAATAAAACATGAAAACAACATTTTAAACACACATACACAGTAGAAAAAAGAAAACAAATCTGTTCTTATGGTAGTCCATCTACTGTAAAAATTAGAACGCTATTAGTGAAGTGCAGCAAGTATACGCTATACTGATGATAGGCAATAACCATAATAGCACAAACGAACAATTTGCCAAAATGCCACCACTATAGAGGAGCTAGGAAAACACAAAAACAAAAATCCACCACCCAAAAAGAAAAAAGAAAAAAAGAAAATCAGCATTAAGTTTCTGCCAAGTATTTAAATATAAACTTGTTTTAAGTTTATTGAACTCATACACCAAACACCAGGTCCAAAACGGACAAGCTTTCAGTCAAAGAGAGTGAGTGCGTCAGGAAGTCAGCATTCACCAAAGAATCCATTTCAACATTTTTTATGGTTAGCTTGGAGAGCAGAAATGAAGGCAGTTATCTGAATTGCTTAGAAGGCTCTATTGTTCCCTCTTCCAAAGGATTTTTCCCCAGAACAGAATGGGTGGTGTGTGCAAAGCAAGTAAAAGGTGGGGGAAGGGGAAAAGTACTGTGGATAAAGAGAGAAACACAAACAGTTTTTAAGCAAAGATATATTTTTTTTTAAGTAATTTCCTACCTCCCACTGCAAGTGAGGCGGGATATTCCTGATCTGAAGCTTCCGACTCCTGCAGATAAATTAAAGAAAATAGTATTTTTAAAAAAATAATTGAAAAAAAAATTTAAAAAAAAAAAAGAAAACATCATTGCAAGACTATACATAGCAGTGTCATACATTTAAACATCTGTCATACTAAGAGGGGCAAAACCAAATACACAACTCAAAAAAACCCAACAGATCGCCGAGGGGGGAATGTCAGGTCAAAACCATTTCAAGTCCAAAGAGCTGTTACAGAAATACTTGTTACACATTTGACAGCTGTTACATTTCATGAAGTCTCCACTTTTCTTGGAGACTATATTTCTATTTCAGCTTTAAGGCCTTCAAGTATCTAATTCCCTCTGTTATAAATGGGTGTGATAATCCCATATATTTGTGCTGGGTTCTCCTTCACACACTTTAGGAATTTTTTTGTTATTTTGTTTTGTGAATCCACCAGGAAAATACTTCAGGATTACAAATTTGAATTCATACATTTGCTTTGATACTAAATTACCAAAAAGCTTAATGATGGACTATTTTCCAACATTTACACGACTAACATTCTTCCTCCCTGATTGGGAGGAGAGGGTAAGAGTCTAGTAAATTCCTTGTATTTTTACCCCAAATTTACATCAGTTTTCACTTATCTAGTAAACAAAACGTTCGCTTTGAAGTGCTACTGCGAAGCCTGGCAGTGTGCTGGCTGCCTTCACAGCCAAGTCCTTTGTCTCGTCCCTTCCCCCAAAGTGAGAGAACAAATAGATGCCTGAGATGCCACAAAACCCTTGGGATTTACAAGAATGTGTAGATTAACACAGTTTCGGCTGGGCTCAGGTAGGGTGAGCTAGTAGGGTCAGCCTGCCCATCCTGGGAAGCTCTGGGGACAGGAGAGGAGACAACAGAGAGAAGTCTAGTTTAGAAGGTCTCAGTTACATTTTGGTTTACCAAAGCAGCTAAAAAAAGTGTCTTGTGTCCAAATAGTTTTACTTCACATTTTAATTGCTTAATACTGACCTCTCACAGAAAAAAAAAAAAATGCTTCACACTTTAAGGACTTTTTGTAACAGTTAAAACTTATTCAAGCCAGGTAAGTCCTGCAGCAAAGCAAGTTTTAGAGGTGTTCTCATCTAGCAGTAAAAACAAAAGCTTTCCTTTTCCCCTCAAATCCTTTAAAAATACACTCCTTTCCCTAATACCACCACCTACCCAGGCCTGGAGTGAGTGTTTTACGTCTTGAAATGCTCTTCTCAACAGGTTTTGTCCAAGGCACAGCTGGAGGTTACAGCACAAAGCCACCTTGCCCAAACAGCTCCTCATGTGGCAGTATCAACCCCCAACACTACAGCAACCATGAGATCAAGCGACAAACGTGCTTTTTTGCCAGAAAAGATGAACACGTCTAGGTTGTGCAGCATTTCTCAGCTGTTTTCACTCCCTCTCAAGCAAGTAGGAGCACATTTCAGCATTTGATCATATAAATAGGCAAGGAAGGGAGAACAAAAACCCAAACCACACACAACCCCATTTTAAGGTTTTGTTTTCAATAAAGCAAGGAAAGTCCAGAGCTGCTTCACTGAAAGCAGAAAGTTTCCTTGAAGTCTGCAAGGTTTTCCTTAAACTCAGCTAGCAATAATGCTACAAAACAGTTGCCCTAAAGTGGTGATATACTGCTCTGAAATATCAAAATAATCTCACACAGCAACCTGAAACTTCAAGTTGGGTCCTAAAGTAGAACATAAAAGGGGTTGTTCATTCAATATTAGAAATACTGGGAAATTTTAATACAGCAAAACCCCAAACCACAAAACTGGCAGCTAATATGCTATTCAATGCACTTCAAACCACGTTGTGCCATTACTCTCTCACACTTGTAAATTCAAATTGAAATTCATGAGTTTCACAGCAAGGAGTGTCACTCACAGAAGGATCCAGCAGCTCTGCCTGCCACCACACCAACAACAGGTCTCACCCCAGCTCCACACCAAGTTTGGCCACAAATGCTCACACTGAGCTGTGTATATCCACTGGTGAGAAAGGGAGGGCAGAAAAGTCCCTTCCAGAAGCACTTATGTATGTTTTCCTTCTGAAATTAAAGGTGAGGTGGTAGTTGTGTGAAACCTGTATGCCTTCTCTACTGTCCAATACCTGAAAGATGGACCAAAAAGCCATCTCTACTTTTCCTCATCTCTTGTTGAGGACTAACACAAGGTTTGGAGGTGGTTTTTTCCTTCCCATGTGACTTCAAGGGTCTGAAAAGTTCAATGCAATTTAGAACTTCTGCCAGCCAACAGAAATAACTTGGACATCCTAAAAAGGAGGACTAAGGGAGGTGAGCAAGGAAGAAATGGCACCTTAAAGTTACCAATTCCTCTACCACACTCATAAACAGCCAAAGGAAATGGCAAGTCAAGTACAAAACGGGTACAGTCCTGCTGTGCACCTCAATTTATGGCAATAGTGAGACACCTATTGTACAAAACTGAAAGGTCACTTAAAAAATACAAGACTGTTATACACACCATTTAATTTGGAACTATTTATACCTTCACCAGTTTCTTAGCTGCAAGTAATTTTAACTTGTCACCCAGGGCACAACTTTGAAATCTGGTGTTTGCTGATGCATGTAAAAATGTACTCTTATACATTATTTCTGTATCACACTTAGCAATAAGGAAAAAATATAACTGAATAAAGCTTTGCATGGCCAAGAGAGGAATCACACAGAACCAGTGTAAGATAGAAGATCATAGACAGCTTTGAGATTTCCCCATTTCAGTTACTATTAGCCCCTGTTAAAAAAGACATCTAAATATATCCCTTAAAATTACCTAGAAATACTCAAAGCTTGTAACCCCTTTCCCCCTCTGCCCTTCTCCACACACAGAAAGAATAACTAGAAGTGACCAAAGTGTTTTTTTTTGTTCCCAGGACCAGAACGAGCACTGAACAAGCAGCAAGCAGATGGAGACAGAATCTCCCACGTGCTGCGATAACCTGCAGCTCCTCCTCAGAGATCGCTCCCTCCCGTCCTTTTCCTGCATTTCGGCAGCCCCGTACATCTTCTCGCTGCAAGGCAGCACGAGTAATTTTGCAGGCACTCTATTGCTTGCATGTGAGCACACAGAAAATCAGCTCTCAACTTCAGGAAAAATCCCAAACCAAATGCGAGCGTATAGCAACGAGTAAGGGACAAAGCTGAGTCCTGACTGAATTTACCAGCAACAGCTTCCACGAGTGTGAGTTCTGATTTCAGAAAGCACACTTTTGCACAGGGTCAAAATTCCACAGCATAGGTGGGGAAAGGAAAAGTACGGAAGCATCTTCCTGGAAATACACTCCCATCTCAGACACTGTCAGCTCTTCTAGGATGCTATCTTCTGTCCTCCTCATGACACGGTTTTCTTAGCTAAGTATGGTTTAAGCAAAGATCCTACAGCTATGTAACCCAGGCAGCAGACCCCTACAGAGGGTTTTGTTATGTTCTGTTTTGAAGCAACCTCAAGTTTTGTTACTGTACAACTACTTGCAGTCACACTAAGTGCATAAAACAAGAAATAGTCCTCTCTCATCCCCTGACAGTATTTTGTTACCATCGCTGCATTTAAAATATAGCTCACCTAGTCTTAATAAATCCTTAGTAAAACACTACCAGCATCTCTCAATGTAACTCACATAAGCCTTGTGTATGCAGTTTTTCCAGTTTAAGTAGATTTCTTAATTCATTCCTCCTATTCTAAAAAGGCATTGCAAATAGATGTCAATTGAAAAAACTGAGTAAATTATGTTTGCGCTCTGTATCACATGAAGGTTTTTGAAAGCTACCTATGTTCACAGCATGTGAACAGGTGTTCCCATTTGTTTCTCTTTTTCAAAGATACCCAAAACACCTTTAATTGGGCAAGAAGAAAACAGGTTTCTCTGGTTTCTGTGCAAGGTTAGTCCATAAGCAATTGTTTGGCAATAATTGACTTTTCATAAAGGGAATTGCACACATTCTAATTTAAGGAATTGCACACGTTGCAATTCTTCTTTTCAGGTAACAGGTAACAGGATTCAGTTACCTTAAGCCACTGCTGAGGACCATATGCCAACGTATTTATTCTGGGGATGCTGAGACATGGAGCCTTGTGTTTGGGGCACACAAATATCTCTACAACACTGAAAACAGGTAAAACAAAAAGCCATTATTGTGCCCCTTCACAAAGAAAGCAGCATATTTGTGCTAAACGTGTGCACAGAGACAGAAAGAGCAAAGTACCACAAAGATGGATAATTTACTAAAAGCCATCTTAGTGATCTCTGGAGGGGTAATCTCCCTTATGTAAATACAGAGAACAGACATATGCATAGGGACACCCAGTCCTCCCAACCCACAAGAACCCTCAACAAATATGAAACAATATTAGACATGTCTTAGGAAAAAGGTGGTGGGAGAAAGGAGTAAGAAAAGCCATAATTTAGCATTTTCTTTCTTTTATATATACTTTTCTTCTTTCTCTGCCCTCACGATATACACCACTTTTTTCCTTCAACATATCAGTTCCTCTTGAGTTAAAAGGGTCTCAAAATTCTCTATTTTTGCATCCTTGTATTAAATCTCACTACACACTTTCACTAATAGAATCTCACTGTATGCTTTATATGACACTTAGCAAAGGCAAATCACATCAAGTCCACACATCTCCTTAAGGGAAAATAATTTTAAATAACAGAGGATAGATGATTATAAAGCGAAGAATAATGAAGTATCATGCTTTTGCTCAAAAGTCCAAAATTTTTTGTATCTCATAAGTGTGTCAAAATCTGACTATTTCAGAGGGAAACATGAATATCAAAGTGACTGCACTTCCACACAGTTGTAACTACACTCTTACCAGACCCTTCTCACCATCCTCCCTCCGCCAGATACCTGCTGCCTCCTGCTCAAGTCCCATTTCTCAACAATAACACCACTTAATAGACTCTTACTTCAGCAGCCATATGAACTACGCACAACCCTAATGCCTTAAACCCACAAAGCACAAA